CACACACGCATAGAGCGGGATAATACGCAGAGCGTCACACCACGTGAAAGTGAAACCTGAGCGGTGAACTAATTTTCGACAGCCGAAATTTCGGAGCATCTCTAATTATTGGCGACATCAGAAATGTATATTATATAATATATGCTTTTTTGAATATTTTAGCAATTTAAAAATATTAAAAAAATATTTTTTACACGGCACCCCTGCTCTCGACAGACGGCACCCCGGTTAGGAAACATTGCTCTAGGCTTCACTCCCTGGAGCATATGATCACACCGAACATGCGGTAAACTATTAATTGGTTATTCTACAATTAATTGTATTATAAATTATACTACAATTGGAATATACTGTAAATTGATAAACTGTTCGGTGTGATGACGTTTAATGTCTCCGACAGCGTCTGTAGTGCCATTTAGCAACTTGTTAGCAACCGTCTTTTTTAAGAAACGTAACAGTTTTAAAAAATCACGAGTGTGGTGTAACTGGTGTGTTTTATGTCGTAGAATGAAACGTGAAAGTATCTTGAGCTTGTGTGAACCACAGACCTTATTTTAGGGGATTTAACCAAACTCCCATTCAAAAAAAACATTGACTCTGGGATAATGGGACGATGGAACAGGTGGAATAGTAACCGGAAGTAGTAAAATGCTCGCTTCCGGGTTTTTGCCTACAAAATGACATCATAGTTCCACCACTCTATAGTGGCTGCGGTGTGTCCCGTGACAAGCATGACGTCCATGTCTCCATGGAAACAGTAAAGCGATACGTTCTAAAATAATGGTCGGCTAAAAAAACTCACACTGGGGGCTCAGATAGTATATTTTAAACTCACGTGCGAAAAGGTTATCGATTGCTATTGGGATGTGATGAGACTTTCAACCAGCATAACAAAAAATGTTTCTCAAGACAATCACCTGTTGCACCTTCAAAAATGTCGACAATTCACGCAAAACAAATTTCTCTAATAAAAAAATTATGTTAAGCTTAACAATAAGTCTGATAAGTCTGAATTTTTAAAAAACATATATTTAGATTTTAAAGTGGCTATAAGACATCAGCAAGACCAAAAAATTATCATGTTACAATGGCTGTAGCCATGGGTCTAAGTGCAAACTGTACTTTATTTAACAAAACCAACATACTAAGTGATAAAGGAGCATTATGACACACCATACACAATGAGAACGACAAATAGGGCTAAAACTAAGGGCTATAAATACACAGACTAAAGGAGGACCTAAATAACGAGCAGGTAAAAATCATGAGTAACCAAGGGAACAGATTAACAGCAAGAAAGCACAGGAAGAGAGAGAATGCAAACTAATAAACCTAACCCTAACCCTAACTTCAACACCCTAAACTCAATGGAACTCAAAAACACAGAATACCCATGACAATATGAAATAATGGCAGGGATGCAATTGATGGAAATTGGCTAAAAAAAATAGAATAAAATGAATTATATTTAGTTAGTTAGCTAATTATATTTTCCCTAATAATATCACATACCAAAGCCTTCTCTGTTTGTGATAGTTGTCTTGTTGCCTAGTTTTATTACAACTGAAATATGGGAAGCTAGTAAAAGTCTTTCTCTCTTTTTAGACACAATTTAATTTGGAGTTGTTTGAAGACTGTTCTCCATTCATCTATGTGGCTTCATGTCATGAACTTGAACATTTATTGAAGTGTCCACAGTTTCTTCAGATGCTAAAATGTTTGAGAATAATTTTAAATAGCAGTTAATGACTTATGAGTCAAAAATATATATGAATGAAACTATATAGAAAATACGTTTAACAATATTTATGCAAATGTAAAATTTTATATTTCGAAGCAGCAAATAAATAAATAAATGCCTGTACTCACTAGAAGCAGAGGAATAACCCGTTTGATGAATCTACAACATAAAAATATAACAGCATGGCAATAATTAATTGTAGCTAATAACAAAAAAATCTGTTTGAGTTTCCTTGATTTTCCTAATGAGCTTTAGCTCATTAGACAATTTTAATTATTTTCAGTTCTTGACCTACCTGCAAGCCGCTTTCTCCATGTAATAACAGCAGCTCCAAACACCAATACCAGAGCCAAAACTGTTAGGACTGATGGAATCACTGAGTTAAATGGTTCTCCATGATCGTACTCTGAAACATGAACTACAAATTCATTTAGAGTTTAGCTTGGTATTTTTTGCCCAGTAAGAATTTCTCACCTAAATTCACAGTCATCCTGTTATCCAGACTGAGGTGTGTGGCAGAGCAGGTGTATTTGTGTTTGTCTGCAGCTCTGATCTCCAGACTCTTCCTCATCTGGTACGTCCCGTCAGCATTGGGCAGCAGATCTCCTCCAGTGATCTCATGATCAGCTACAGGCTGCTCGTCTCTGAACAGGGTCAGGTTTATGTGACGAGGGTAAAATCCTGTTGCCAAACAACTCACACAAAACCCTCCAGAATCTGAGAAAGCTTTCTTGATGAGTCTCACTCGCGGTTTTACTGGGGGGAAAAAAATCCATCTTACCTTTTTATAAAACACTATCCTGTGTAATAAGAATGAGATGTTTTCTAATGTTATTGCTTCAGTTAATAAAAAGGACGGAATTCCTGTGTTGCAAATCAAAATTATATTTTACCTATAAGAGCTCAGTGGCTCAAATCTATTTAAATATTGGGGGAGAACAGACTGGAGACCAACCTTTCTTATTCACTTGAGTTTGTCTCTTTTTAAGGTAATTCCTGAGAGTTGCTATGCAGGATGGGTAGTTTATTGTCTCATGACGCCACTTGAACAGCTCCAGAGATAGTGTTGCCATTTCTTTTGGGCTCTCATATGTAAACTTGTTGTCATAAAAACGCATTTCATCTGTAGTGGAGCCACTAAAAGCAAACTTAGAGATCATTTGTCCAGGCTTATCATTGTCCCACAGTTCACAATGACTCATCACTTGATAAAGTTGAGGACCTGTCAGGACAGAGGAGACATAGCTTGTGTCCCACGACAAGATATTCATATCCAACTTTCAATCTCGATATGCTATATTTTAACAAAGCTAACATACGTTCTGTGTAGTTTTTAAATGTTAGTCTGCCCACATGGAAAGGTTGCAAATCGTGCCTCATTGCATAAAAGATGTAAGAAACAATCTCATCTTCATTTGTAGTATTATCTCTAGGAATGTATCTCTTAGCCTCTGAATTATAGTGTCCTACTGTGAGGTCATCCAACATAAATGTGACACTAAATTCAGGAAATGGCGTCTCTCCTTTAATGTATGTTACAAGCAACCACAAAGAGTGAGAACCTGTAAGACATAACAACAACAACAAAAAAATCAATTATGTATTGCAATACCTATTATGTCTTGCAAAATTGCAAATTCCCAAGTTTATATGAAATATTTATTCCCAACAAAGAAGCCTTTTTGTGTCAGTCAGTTGTTCACAATGTTTCTTTATTTAATAGGCTAAAAAATGTACGTCCTTACAGTTAAATTTCATGCACTACTCTGAATCAGCCTGAAAAATACAGTTTTCGCATTAACTAAAGAAGTAAAAGTTATTATTGTTGTCGAAGTTCGTGATTTGAAATAATTTATTTAACCCCTTCAGACCTGAATAAAAATAAAAAAAATGTATCCACTTGATATTTGCTCTTCTCCAATACAGAAATGAGTCTAAAAAACAAGATTTGTGCCAACTCATTTTTTTATTAGATTTTCTTCATGTCCACTACAATGGACGGCAGGACTGAAGCAACATAAAAATCCTCATAATTTTAGCCATACTTATGAACTAGACTTTGTGTACTAGAGTTGATCTAGTATTGAAGATTTTGAATACTGTATATACTGTAAGAATGAGCAATGCAATAAGAATGTAGAAGATTATATGAAGTCTCAAAAACTTGTTTGATCCTTTTTGTTGGTTGCAGTGGGTGAATCTGAATATATGCATAAATGTATTTGTGTGTATTTGAATGTGTTTATATGTGCTTGCTGGTTGTTTTGATGAATATACGATTGTGTGCATTATAGCATTAAGGCATCAGTGTGTCGAGGGGCTGTGAGTGTGTGTATTGCTGTGTATTCACTGATCTCACATCCACTATGGCTGTTTCTCACTAAAACCAATGAAAAATTGATCGACAGACTATGGTCACTTTGAAGACAAATGAAATCATATGAATAATATTTCATTAACGTCACTGTTCATAAAACATTGGCATTAGAATTTGTAGCTCTATATTTTAGCTTTGAAAAGCTTGCACAAATTTCTCAACCTGTCATACAACTAAATCTTGAGGTTCCTGCTGATATCTTTTAAAACCTGATGTCCATTGCGATGGACATTGCATTTTTTTTAAATCCTGTGTTCTGTAACTCTGAAAGATCTTCAAAATAACTGAATAGTACCATTTGATAGTCTTAATTTTATAATAGGTGCAAGTTGGTGAGGTTACCATGAACATAAATCTGCATATAAGGTAAAAAGTGGGCTTCCTCCTCTTCCTGTCTAGCTGGTTAGTCATGTCTCTCTTTTGTGATGCCTGTAACTCAATCAGATTAAGTTAGGAGTCATATCTTCATTGTGATTGGTTGATCAGGGTCCAATCAGTGACCAGGCATTCCCTTTCAGTCGGTCACTCTCAACGTCACGTCGGTGAACGACGAATTGGGATCTCGCTTCGAGAGACCTAACTACTTCGAGTTTAACTAAACGAGCCAACACATTGGCATACGATGATTGCATCCAGCTGCCGCTGATCACAGCGTGAGCATAAAAAGGCAGCAAGTGCAACGCATACCAGCTTTTCGCTTTGGAGCCGAGCGACAACATCGTTCTGCTCTAACCAGTGTCTTCAATTGTCTACGAGTTCGACGCGCTCTTGGAAGCTTTCTGTGTTGGCGGATGGCGCTTCAGCGGTGGTCGTTCCTGAGTCGAGTGGGTTGCGCACTTCAGGCTGCATTACCCCCTATCGTGCTGTAAGCGGCCATCTCCCCTGTGCGCCTCACGGTCGATGGCACCCAAATTCTCGACAAAAGAGCAGTTTTCTCTCTCTCTGGATCCCAGGAGGGCACGGAGAGTCGCGGACGGACGAACACCGGACCACACTCATCCTCCTCCTTCGCCAGCAGGCAGCAGCAGGCGGTTCGAGAGCGCCAACAAAGGCCCTACTCACGCACCCTCTGCCAAACTGTGGAACCAGGTAAGCATTGCACCGCACACTCAGACCCCTCTTCGGTCCGCTCACAAGCTGCCCGAGTTGGGTCCCTGCGTTCCACCTCGCTGCCCCACAGCGGTGGTTCCGTTGGTCCTGCTTGCACGGTATCTGGGTGCCTGGTTAGCGCTACCCAGCCCGTCTCGCTGGCTTCTGCGGACCATCAGCCTCGGCTATGCGATTCAGTTCACCCGGCGTCACCCCAAGTTCAGTAGCATCCGCTTCACAACAGTGAAGGCGGCCGATGCTCCTGTCTTGCGTGCGAGATCTACTGACTCAGAGACAGGGCACTCTGTGGCACCCGCGTCCAGACCTCTGGAAACTTCATGTCTGGTCCCTGGATGGGACGCGGAGGTTCTTGGTGACCTACCCAAAGAGGTAGTTGACACCATCAATTCGGCGCTTACGCCATGAGATGGAACCTGTTCGTCGAGTGGTGTTCTTCTCGTCGTTACGTATGTAACCCTAGTTCCCTGAAGGAGGGAATGGAGACGTCAAGTCCCTTCGCCACGGCTGCTGTACCACCATTGAGTGGCCGGGTCACCGGCTTGGCTCCTCAGCAAAAACCTAGTATGCGTTGCACTTGCTGCCTTTTTATGCTCAAGCTGTGATCTGCGGCAGCTGGATGCAATCATCACATGCCAATGTGCATTGGCTCGTTTAGATACACTCGAAGTAGATTGGTCTCTCGAAGCGAGATCCCAATTCGTCGGTCACCGACGTGACGTCTCCGTTCCCTCCTTCAGGGAAGGAGGGTTACATACATAACCAAGACGTTACTCGTATTATAAAACATAAAATTTTATTGGTTTAAACAAAAAATCATGTGATGTCCATTTCAATGGATGCAGGGTCTGAAGGTGTTTTAACTTAACATCGACAAATAATTTCTAGGCTGTGCTTGTATGACTGAACAGCCGCATGGGGTGTCTAAACTGGACTAACCTAATTTAAAATTAATTATGTTTGAACTCGGAGTAAAAAAAAAAAAAAACATCTAGAGTTCCATATGTAGCTATTATTATTTTGTATGGGACTCACTTGTTAATGGAAATAAACAGGCTAACAACTTTGCTTTGTTTTCAAAAGTAGGCTAACCCTAAACGCGTTTGTGATTTTCACTTTCAGTTTTGAACAAAAAACGTTTTCAACAAGATGGTTAATTAAATCATAACTGTGGCTACACTTGAGACAATCTAGCTTTTATAAACTCGTCAGAACGGTAGGCCCTATCATTACGTGTAGTTGATACATTTTCACGAGGGTGCCTGAGGTTATCTGAGAAACATAAATTGACGGGATAACATCGCCTGTTTAAATTAATTGCACATATTGTTGCTAAATAAATGCAAATAGAATCCTACCAGTCAAAACAGTTGTTAGAGCTGACAGCAGCACACATAGAAAAACGAATAATTTACTCATTATCTTCTCTGGGTGTTAAAAGTAATGTTCTTCCTTAAAGTCACATTGATTGGCTTTGAGCCAGAAAACAAAAACGAGTCTTAAAGGGGTCATATGATGCTGCTAAAAAGAACATTATTTGGTGTATTTGGTGTAATGAAATGTGTTTATGCGGTTTAAAGTAAAAAAAACACATTATTTTCCACATACTGTACATTATCTACAATACTACAGCGAGAATAAAAGTTACGTCTTCTTTCTTTGCGTGAACATTTGGGCGGCTTTATGCAAATCTTCCCACATAGTGAGGTAGGTATGTGGGGGCGTGTTCGAACGAGCCGTTTTAGGTAGGTGTGGCTAACTCTTAACTTTTATAAAGAATATCTCTTTGGATTTGAGACTTTAGTCTTTGCAACTTTACAGATCTTCTTTATGCACCAAGAGCTTGTAACACTCTAAAGAGAAAGGAAAAAATGAAATCGCATCATATGACCCCTTTAACAAGTAGCCAGAAAGTGCGTGCTCTAGCTTAGTCGAGATGAGGGCAGGGAAAATATAAATTTAATTAATCTTCATATAGCCTAAAATTTAATCTTAAGACTTTCCTATACTACATACTGTTTTTAATACAACAGCCTATATAGAAGCGAGAATTATATTTTAATGTTTAATTCAATGTAACATTTTCTAATGTCAAAGGCTACACTGCGTTAATAGCAACCTCTTGCAACATTCGGTAAAGAAATAGTTCACCCAGAAATATGTGTCATCAAGCTGAAACATAGCAGGGAGTTAGCTATATAGACATGCAGAGATGGGCAGTATTTTAATTGAATGTATTTGAAATTACGTATTTAATTACTAAATGCGTATTTTGTCATTTGTATTTTGCTGGACAAAGAAAAATCAAAAGTAATTTGTAATTAAATACTTTGAGAGACAGTATTTTGTATCTGAAATATTCAAAATACATAATCAAGTAGTTCATTTTATTCTCCGATAATACAATCCCTTGCGAAAATGAAGTTTATTCAAGTGTGCTATTAGTATACTTCTTTTAAACTTAAAATAGGAAAGTATACTTTTAGTCTACTTTTTATGTACTTCTCAGAAATGGGATTTATGTACTTCTCAGAAATATACTTAAAATGACATTTAAGTATACTTAGAAAAAGTCTAATATATTTTAGCTATACTTGTGCTCCTAGAATCTGTGTTTTCATTATTATACGGTAGGGGGCGCTAGTTATGGAATAAAATGTCGACCAATGAAGAGGTAATAATGACTGTCAAGCTTTGGGATATTGATCGACTTTATCTAGGCCGGAAGGAGCAGAAGCGGTCGACTGTGGCATAATAAAAGCTCCGCTGCTTCGAGCCATATGTCAAGCCTCGTTTCGCTTCAGCGCCTTTCAGCCTCACCCTGCTTCATTCTACTACGTTAATAAATCATTAGATCATCCATGAACATGATTTCTGCCCGAGTCCCGTCGGATTGCATCGGCTGTGGGGATGAAGACGACAACTCCCATGATTCCACACTCAGTCACGGCGTCATCAAACTACGCCTTTGTCTCTTTGTTTATTTTGAATATGCGCCCTCCAGCGGCGAAAATTACATATTGTGCCTTTAAGCCAACAAATCAAAACGTCATTACTGACAATGACCGACTAGACTTGCAGAAATAATACTGTCATTGTAGGCCTCATGCAGCAGTAAATAGTGGGAACTGTAGTCATATAAATTTACTGAATATTAGACTTTGCCAAAATAGAGGAAAATGATTAATATGCAAAAAAGAAACCATTATGACACTTTGCCAGAAGATATTTTGTCTGCTGTTTGAAGTTTCTCCACTCATCAGCATTGATTTGTGTCATTTTTTTAAAACAAATATAAATTTACAAATTAAGATTATCACAAGGTTTAAGGTCCTATTTGCACAGTGAAACCAAAAATCCCAGAACACTTGGATGATTACAGCTACAAGTTTCCAATAGTAGCACAGATCCAACTACCATTTCAATTATTTATTTTTATGCTCTTCTGTTACCTTAAGTTTTAAAACGGTCATCTTCTGGCAATGAATGAAACAACGTTCACCACCATATCAGTGGCCTAATAAACATTTTGCAACCTACACTGATGTTATTCTGTGTCATCTGTTCTTTGACCATGTGTTGCACTGTACCTGGATGATACACGATGATCATTGATACAAATGCATGGTCTATTT